GAAATTCCTGCACCATTGACTGGCCTGACCAAGAAAGGCTTACTCAACAAGGTGAAGTGGGAACAACCACACCAGGTGGCATTCCACAAATTAAAGAACAGGTTGGAAAGCTCACCAATTCTCAGAATGCCAGACTTCAACAAACCATTTATTATTCAGAATGATGCTTCAGACATTAGAATCGGGGCAGTACTCTTACAGAAACAGGAAGTTGGACTGTTTCCAATAATATATATATATAAGTAAAAATCTATTGAATAGTGAGAAGAACTATTCAGTGATTGAACGGGAGTGTGTGGATATTTTATTTGCCATTCTGAAATTCGAGAACTATCTATATAAGAAGGAGTTCATCATTCAGATAGACCATCAACCACTTGCATACATTCAGAGGTGTGCTGTTGATTCATAGTTGAATTTATCGCTAACAATTCACAGACACCTACTGTAGAAGAATCCTAAGCCCAACATCAACATAGTATACATTTATAATATTAAGAAATATAATTAAAAGCCATTGACTTCGACAATTGAAAAAAAAAACACAACAGAACCCATATACATATACAATATTATTTTTAAATTCTGACACTTATGCCTTGCAATAAAAAAGTATATATAAAACACAAGTTATCCTTGTTGATAAGGTATAGAAAATTGTGGTTATTCTTATATATCTATAGAATACAGAAAACTGTGGTTATCCTTATATATATCTATAGAATACAGAAAATTGGTTATCCTTATATATATCTATATAATTTAGAGAACTGGTTATCTTTATATATATATGTGTAAAATATAGAAAACTGTGGTCATCCTTTACTTGTATGGAGTAGTGCATTGTTTTATATTAATTTCGCCGGTACTATATGCATAAATATATTAATTAACTTACTTAAACACTACATAACACCACACTATCACCATAACACATAACACCACACTATCAAAACTAGATACGTACATTTTATTGCCTTAATAATTTTGGAAAAGGAAAGAAAAACATCGAACAATAAAACAAAAGTAAAACATCGAACAATATAACAAAAGAAAAACATCGAACAATAAAACAAAAGAAAAACATCGAACAATATAACAAAAGAAAAACATCAAACAATTTAACAAAAGAAAAACATCGAACAATATAACAAAAGAAAAACATCAAACAATTTAACAAAAGAAAAACATCTAACAATATAACAAAAGAAAAACATCGAACAATATAACAAAAGAAAACATTGAACAATATAACAAAATAAAAACATCGAACAATATAACAATAGAAAACATTTAAAAATATAACAAAAAAAACATCTAACAATATAACAAAAGAAAAACATCGAACAATATAACAAAATAAAAACATCGAACAATATAACAAAATAAAAACATCGAACAATATAACAAAAGAAAAACATCGAACAATAAACAAAAGAAAAACAATCAAACAATTTAACAAAAGAAAAACAATACTAACAATAATAACAAAAGAAAAACAATCTAACAATATAACAAAAGAAAAACATCTAACAATATAACAAAAGAAAAACATCGAACAATATAACAAAAGAAAAACATCGAACAATATAACAAAAGAAAAACATCGAACAATATGACTTTCTATGTGCAACCACACGGACTAGAGCATAAAATTATGTGTCAATCGAAAAATAATCTTGTCAGTATTTGTCATGAGAAATCAAATAAAATATTTTCTGGTTCGGTTACGGGATCGGTTTCTATCAAATATCTGGTAACTTTGTTTTGTTAGAGCTTAGCCACTTTAGTCCATCTGCTGTGTCTACCGCTGGAGATCGAACCCCACATTTTAGCGTTGTAAATCCGTTAACTTACCGCTGTCCTATCGGGAGGCTTATATTTCTCATATTTATAGAATATGAGTAAGGTTCTGGTACTTACAAGAGATAACGTGTAATATCCGTTAACACAATATAATGGATGAAGGATATTGTGGGCGTCAAATGAACTGCTATCAGACAATATTTAGATATAGCTGCATTCTAACCTGGTACTAGGAAGAGGGAGGAGGACATTTTTAGATTACGTTGGTCTGAATAAAAATGTAAAATAAAATAAAAATATACTTGAAATTCAATTCAATGCAGTACTTAAAAGACTTGCCTCAGCTAGAGTCTTGATAAGGAATTCAATAAGGTTCTATTTTATTCATCTGAACCTCAAACACGACACAAACAAGACGAATGATGATCGTGACATGAAACTCCTGAGAAGCAAATTCTTTTTTTTTGTCTTTATCAATTGTTAAAGAATATCTCTACTATTGACTATATTCCAATATAAAGAAGTTTTACACAAACGAAAATCATAATAGGCAACCTGGGGGAAAACTAAAGTAACTACACGAACTTTTAAAGGAAAATGTATGGTATAACATGAATTATTCTGATTCTTCTTTAGATATCTTGGTTTTAGGTGCTTGTTTAAACTATTCTCAGACATTTTGTTACATGTCATGGTTATTTCAGAGATAAGTTTGTTTTTTTGTTTTTTTCTGACTTATAAGTATTCAGAAATTTGACTTTGAGTTTTACCTGAAAATGTTAGTACTCTGTCTGAGTTCCTTCTCTCGTCCAATCGCTTACGAATAGCAGCTTCAAAGTATCTCATTTTTCATTCACGCCCTTACACACTGAAATTTACAATGGAAGAATGTCTTCTAGCCTGGTAGCGGCATGTGATCAATAACCTTCTTCAAAACAAAATCATAATCCACTCATCAGACAGAGACCTAGTCATAAATCTCTTACAGCTCTTCGTTAGATACTGCATGACCTTGTGTTCCATGCCACGTGGCAGCAGAAATTATCATCCGTTTCCGAATCTAGTAAATTCTAGACTTGGCACTCTTGCAATTCATCTACCAAACAGTATTCTGACATGTTGAATTTATCAAATTCTCGTTATTACTTACATTTGCATAACGAAAGAAAAAAAAATTATATACTTTTTTTGGTAAACTATTGAATTTATTTAATCCTTCGTTTTAAGTTTCTGGTTTTTGATACATTCTTCAGAAAGTTATAATATTCTTGTGTCATCTAACATTATTTTACACACGTAAGTAATGAACATGTCGTTAATGTGAAAATAGCAGGAATAAGAGAATATGTGAAGTGTGTTATACTTTCAGTTAAAAATAGTTGAATCACGGGAGTTCACATTATCATTTTTCAATAAAAAACTCTTGAATTTAGATGATAAAATCTTTAACATTTACCCTTCTTGAATAAAATTTATTGAATTAAAAGAAATGTGAATTGCATAATATTCCATGTTTTCCTCTCTTATAATTAAAAGTAGTTGAATCAGAAGAGATGCAACCCATTTGTTTATCCTTGTCAAATCAAAGTAACTAAATGATAGGAGATGCGAATTATATGTTCTCCCATTTCTCAGTTACAGATAGACAAATCAAGGGAGATATGGGTTTTTCATATTTATCTAACTTTAATTAGAATTAGTTGGATAAATGGAGGTGGTAGTCTTATTTTCTCCTTTCAATTAAAAGTAATTTCAGTTTGTCTATTTCCACACATTTAAAATAAATAATGAGTCACACTGCTAGTTTACTTTGCTGAAAAATCCAGTGAAATATCACTTAAAATAATTATACATGTAACAAAAACCAATGCCTGTCCCTCGGGGAAACAATGGTAAATGTACAGATTTACAACGTTAAAATCCTGAGTTCGATTCCCGCACTGGACACAGCAGATAGCCCAATATGAATTTGTCTATTTTGCCCACTAAAGTGTTATACAGTAATTACACATTAATCCCTGGGTTTCAATATCAAAGAAAGATAATTTTACCATCAGTGATAGCACCGAGCAATGAAAAGCGTTTTTTCCTCTGCTGTTAGAAAAAATTCAACAGTTTCTGAGTAATTCGATGATGCTGATTCTAAAAATCATGTTGAAAATTACTGATCACTTCTAGTTTTTGAGTTATAATAAAAGTTCCTTATGCTGCTTTGACAGAGACAAGTTACGAATAAGATAATTCAGCTCTTCTTGTGTGATCAGATGAGGCAGTTTAGGTGGAGATGCCACAGGAATACAGTTACTTCATGAAGATCATTCACTGTCTTCTTTGCAGGATAACTCTTCTGTTTTCCAATTCGCTGGTAGATGTGGCACTGGAAGACCATCCCCATGAGGTACTACATGCAATATCTAGATTGTTTAGTTTTGTCTGAACATCCAGACATGTTGTTTTCTTTCGTGAAACTGTAATATATTTCCACAATGTAGGATGAACAAATTCCGACTACATTTTTGAAATCAACATCATCAGTTTTGTTGTTGCTGTGACACCTGTTTATATATATATACACATAAATTTCCATGTTAAGTTACTATGTAGATTTAACCTTCAAGTGAAATTGTGTAAGAATTTTTACATAGATGGGTTTATATATATATATATATATATATTTGTTACGTAACGTTTAAGTTCAATTAATGTCATTTAATTTCTTAAATAGTAGTCAGTTAAAAGATGTTTAAGATCAAATATCTACTTTTGCTGCTTATGGTATGTTTATATTTTTTAATGTGTAAACTAATTCTTAGTCCTTAAATTAGAAAGTGGTAATCTTCCCAGTTCAAATGCAGTTATTGTGCTTCTTAATATTCAATGCTATATATCTAGTTTTAATTAAGATGGTTCAACCCACATTTAATTAATAAATTTGTAAATGATCATATTACAACACACACACAAATGAATGATGTTATTTTTTTTCTACTGTTCACCACGTTATGTGTTAACGCCAATGAAAACGTAACAATTTAAGAAGCTTTAAATCTTTGTCGAACAAAATAAAGTCCTTAACAATATTTGTTTGCAGATGGTTTAAGGTATCTACACAAATTGTAGAATGTCATATGTAACACCGAAGAAAATCCATGAACAAAATCAATATTATAGAATCGTATATATACACAAACACATCTTTATATAGATTTTATTTCTATAAATACCAATGTGATAAGCATGCCACAACTGGTAAAATAACAACTCAATTCCTTCTTTAAATATTCTTTGGTATATACAAACGAAAATTTTACATACACTAAAATGGACACAAACACAACCAAGTTCATCAACAATTTATTAAGCATGGTGGTTTGTTTTTCAAGAAACAGGAAAAATTATTCAAACAGTGTTGAACTACTTGTTTTGTAAAGAGTCGCAATGGAAGACTCGACAAACAAAAACTAATAGATTTTGCTTTAATTGCCTGAACATTCAAGCAAGCCCATTAGATATCACAACCAGAAAAAAAATCATCCTTATGAGCTTCTACAAACCGTAATTTGTAATTCTTCAAATATTAAAATGTTTTCGGTAAACAATCTATCAACTGAATACCAGATAGGTCATAAAACTTCGAACAATCAACTTAATATATCTTGCATGCGTAATTTCATTTATAAAAAATCCTTTAGCATCGTACAAACCAAAACTTGCTATAAGAAATATATTTATTATTTTCACGTTATTTTGACACTTTGTTTTCCCCTTTTTTGAACAACTTAAATTCAATTTTACAATAGTGCTTGATCAATACGTATTTATATACAACCCATATTTCCGAGGTTTTAGTATGGTTTACGATAGCCCAATATAATATTAATATCTTTTGATATTGATAAATCATACAGCCCAGTAAAATTTAAGAGTGAAACTGAACTATTGCTTATCGACATAAAAATTCACGAAGATATGAGTTAACTGAATGGATTGAATGCCGATTACGTGAGACATTTCACACCCGAATACTGCTGGTGTGTTGAGGGGAGTTTTGTGGCATGTTGTTTTGGTGGATTTCTATGATTATGTGATTAACACTTTAAGGTATTCTGGACACAACCATTTACATTAAAGTTTTCGGAACAGAGAAAGTGACATGACGTGATGTTCATTAATGTAACTTCTTGGTGTTATCGATCTCAGCTTGTAATTACACCCTGGGTGTCTTTAATGTGGGCGCTTAGAAGGGGCTCGTAAGCACAAGTCTCAGGGAATCGCTCCCCTTCCGCACAATTCGATATATTTTCTGTAACTTCTTTATTGTTCTTAACTTGACAATCATAAAGCAAACTCCTTGAAACTTCTTCTGAGCTATTTGTAAAGCACGATTGATTTGTTGATTCTCTCTCTGCCAGAAATAGCACATTTTCCGTTAAATCCTACAACGAAGGAACATAATTAATTATTAACTATTAGTACAAAGAGATACTTTTACTTTACAAATGACATATAGTCGTGGTAACATAAGAAAACATGTATTCAATATTTTCAACAAATAATCAATTAGAATTGTCGATCTATAGATTTAAGAGGGTACTATAATGATATTCAAAAGTACATTTCTGTTTATAGGGATTTTTAAAGATCTGTATGTGAGTGATAACGTGTAAAACATGTCTTTATCAATAATCTGAGAATGAGGGAGTGTCTTATCGATATAATACCTTCAGTATCAGTGGATTACAAAAAAATATTGGATAGTATTTAAATAATCTGAGCTTTCAATATTTATTAAGTTGTTCGAGTTCAGAATACAACAAACCTAACACACCAAAAAAGTTCATTTCCAAATACAGGAAATATGATGGTTTCATAGATGTTTCGATTAGAATATAGCTAATTCAACTTATACATTTAAGAAAAAATTATGTTTTTCATAAAGTTAAGAATTTGTCCTACTTCCAAAGATATGGCAACGGATCATAATTTAGAAGTAAAAATTGAACCAATATTTCTTTTTTTTTATGTTAAAGCTGATACAATGATACATTATCTGCCATACTCTTATTTCTGAATTAATTCATATTTCCTTAATGAATGCGGTATAGGTAGGATAACAAACTAATAACTTTTTAGTTAATCTTACTCCAAAATTTGTCTTCAACAAGCGCGTGTTCGTGTCATATTTTAGCAAACACTGACTCTTTTTTACTTTAAAAGAGGGATGCTAATAATATTTAAATTGCACAATTATCTGGGTTTATTACCGGATTTGGATTGCACAATGAATTTACTTCTTGATCAATTTGATCCTTATAAGGTTTTACCTGTATGTTGGCCCTTCTGTCGAGCTGAAACTGAAATATTCTTATCATGTTTTATCTGTATAATGGCTCTTTTGTCAACCTGGAGTATCCTTATTAGGTTTTATCTGTATAATGGCCCTTTTGTCAGCCTGAAGTATCCTTACCTGGTTTTATCTGTATAATGGCTCTTTTGTCAACCTGGAGTATCCTTATTAGGTTTTATCTGTATAATGGCCCTTTTGTCAGCCTGAAGTATCCTTATTAGGTTTTATTTGTATAATGGCTCTTTTGTTAACCTGAAGTATCCTTATCATGTTTTATCTGTACAATGGCTCTTTTGTCAACCTGGAGTATCCTTATCATGTTCTATCTGTATAATGGCCCTTTTGTCAACCTGAAGTATCCTTATCTGGTTTCACCTGTACGTTTGCCCTTCTGTCGACCTGAATTTGAAATATTCTTATCGGGTTTTATGTGTATAATGACTCTTTTGTCAACCTGAAGTATCTTTATCAGGTTTCACCTGTACGTTGGCCCTATTGTTAACCTGAAGTATCCTTATCAGGTGTTATCTGCTCATTGACCCAATTGAAAACCTGGAAGACCCTTATCAACAAGGTTTTATCTGCTCATTGATCCAATTGAAAACCTGAAAGATCTTATCAACAAGGTTTTATCTGCTCATTGATCCAATTGAAAACCTGAAAGACCCTTATCAACAAGGTTTTATCTCCACATTAATGCTTTGGCATATTTTTCTGTCTACATAATCATTCCTTATCAAATGTGCTTATACATTGAACTTTCTCTATCAGAAAGTTTCTCGTCAGATTTTGAACATTGGTATTTCCTCTATTTGATATTTTTTATTAGGTTTTCCTCACATATTTATCCCCTTTCTCAGTCTCATTAATCTCTGTCGGATTTTATATTTTCAGAGAATATGATAATCACAAGAAGGTCTACGAAAGAACTAAATTAAATTCTAGTCCAACTTAACTTTACCCATATTAAATACGATTTAATTTGTTAATAATCATATAAGTCTGATTTACTATAGCAGAATTTACCTTATAAAATGGAATTAATAAAATAAATTCGAAGAAGGAATAATTTCACGATAATAAATGTTACAATTAGGTCTATCAATCAGCTTTAAACTATATAAGATTATCAGACAGTGTTTAATAAATTGTAATGTTTCATATTTTATAGTTTGAAATACCAAGATACTGCTTTCATCTTCACAAGATGTTGCAACTAAAATCACGGACGTGATTTTATCTAAGGTAATTTTAATCAAATAATTTAATTTCTTTAACATACCAGTATTTACACTTTGATTTTATCTGATAAATTTATTATTTTACAAAACGATAAAAACCCTATAACCCCGAGCGCTTTTGAAAGATAGACCTTTCTTCTTCAGGAGTAAGATTTCTTCAACCTCCGTGTTTTTCTGACATCATTAATTTGTTATTTTACAAATATTTTAACAGTATTGAAAGCGATTGCAGTTATACAGGGATCCTTTAAATAAGTCTTACCTTGCACACGCGTGTGTACTGCTTTAGGATATCAGGACAGTGGTCATCTTCTTCTAAACTTTCACAACTTTCTAGTTTCCGTATTTGTTCATCTCCTGTTGAAAATATACCAGCTTCATTATTCTTACATCCACTTAAGTTGCTATTTCAAAATTATCGTTTAAAACCAAATGTAGAACAGTCAGATTGGGGTCATTATAATACAAAAGGACGTTGACGGTATACCACAAACATTAAAATATTGACTCGATTAATGATAACTGTATGTTTAAGTCTTGATTATTAGGTCTGTACGCCATATTTTGTGAGCTTGTAAAGCAATCAAAATTCATTTGACAACAGTTAGTGGAATATTGTTATAGTTAAAATTATTTGAATCCATAACCTTTTATCATTTTTAAAGAAAGAAAGAAAGGTTGTAGTAATCAAGAATTATTTCTGCCATTTATAACACTTACCCCACTCCTCTAAGAATTATTTCTGCCATTTTTAACACTTACCCCACTCCTCTAAAAATTATTTCTGTCATTTGTAACACTTATCCCACTCCTCTAAGAATTATTTCTGCCATTTTTAACACTTATCCCACTCCTCTAAGAATTATTTCTACCATTTTTAACACTTACCTTACTCCTCTAAGAATTATTTCTGCCAATTTTAACACTTATCCCACTCCTCTAAGAATTATTTCTGTCATTTTTAACACTTACCCCACTCCTCTAAGAATGATTTCTGCCATTTTTAACACTTACCCCACTCCTCTAAGTGAGAAGGCCGCGAACCATGAGATTCTTCATTTTTTGAGACATTTTTCCACGCAACACCGTGCTCTGAAGCCTGAAATGTACAACATTTTTAATATGTTAAGATTTTGTATTTCAACACTAAAAAAAATTTTGCAACAAAATGAAAGAAACGTAGATACGATGAGTTTTAATGCTAAAATAAACATGTTTCTACAAATTATTAATTAAACATATGAAGAAAAAGGTGTAATTTCAAACATTGATTTAAATATTTCCTTTGTATCCATACGCCGATTCATCTACCAGTACAGAAAGTGTGAAATTCTCTCTATGTTTATCTCCTTTTTTATTCTAAAAGAGCGATTTTGTTAGTAGAATATAACAGGTTTTGTCTTGAAATTCTGCTTGGAGTACCATATATTAAAAGTCAGTAAAGGCGTTGAAAAGTGGTAATGGGATTTTGTGTTTTTACACAGTCTAGGAAAGTGGTAAGGTACAATTGCACGGAATGGGTTTTTTCTTATTTTTACACTCGTGAGGTTTTCAAGACTTTCATTTTGTTTCCGTGTTTTATATACGTCAGCACTTTCCAAGGTAATGTCAGGGTGCTTCGAATAATGACCACTTTGGAGATTTTAAAGTAGAGTGATTTAAACTGCATACATTTTCAACAGACAAAATAGTACAAAAAAGTAGTAGAATTAGCAATTTATTTATTTATTCGTAACTTCCAAAAATTTAAGGTTAAAAAAATACGTGTATGTTATATGAAAATAAAAATAAAAACACGAAAGTGATAACATAAAGAAATTGGACTCTTGGAGATAAACTACCTAAACTCCTTAATACTTATTTTATATTACTTTGGTGACGTTTCGTGAAAGCGCTCTGTATCAAGACCAAAACGAACCATATATCTATATATATATATATACACGGCCATAGATTCTCTGTATTGAATTATAAAAGTACAGAAATGCTGTTATTAATGACCATTCATATACAATGTATCTATAGTTCGTTGAAAGTAATAACTTTTGGGCGTTACAGAATTTGTATCATTAGTAAAGAAAAAAAAACGAATTCCTTTAAATTTTTTATATGTTGAACACAACAAGACACTACCAAGCTGTGAAATACGAAGCGATGAGCATGCTAGAAATTTTGTTTTTATGCCTTAAAGATGCCTTAATGGACTTTAATGAGTTTTCTTTACTAGTAGAGAAAACTTTGAACTAAATTTAATGAAAATAAGAGACCTGAATGTGATCCGTGTTTCCATGCTCTTCTTCGATCATTTGGGATGTTCTTCCCGACAGATAGAAAGGTTGACCGTCTGTGTTGTTCACTGGCTTGTAGCTATCATCGTTTTGGTTCAAACGTTGAAGCTGAAGAGCAACTGAGGCAAAAACATGGAACTTATTTTGATAATGCGTAGACAGTAAATCATGTACTTTTAACCAGACCTCTGTTTATATGTGTTTTATTATTGTATTAGCAAACTATATAAATAAGCTATCGCATTATATACTTAGCATAACGTTTTCACTAATTATGGATATCTATTCTTTTAAGATAATCTTACCTTCGGCTCGTCTTCGTAGACGTTGGCTCCTTCGTATACAACAGGCCACAATTAAGGAGATTAACACAAACACCATGGCACCACAAACAGCGCAAGCCATCCAGACTACCCTGGAAATTTGGGCTTCCTTGCTTTTTCCAGCATTAGTAACAGCTTTTGTGGAATCCATTGATGGAGCAGCTGTGTAGAGCACACTTGTTTCATTACGTGGGTAATGTACACAAGAATATCATTGAGTTGAAGGTTTGATAGAAACATTAAACTTTATCACTCTTGTTTTAGGTTATTGTGTGTGAAAAGAAGTTCACACTTTTTATCAGCTACATATTGTATTATCTCAGATAGATTAAGGTCGTTACATAATGAAAGAACTTAATGCAAACTGATTTTTGGGGTGTATGGAGACGCATACATGCTCGTGTATCCAACAGTTATATATCTACTACAGTCTTAAAGCTTAGCGCAAGCTATGATTGGCGAAAAGAGCAAATTCATGTAACTGAGATAACAATGCGTTATAAAATCTAATCTATTTGACAAGTACTAGCCTTAAGTATGCCTTAACGTGCATTATTTTTAAAACCAGGCTCATGGACTGGTTAGACAACTTCTCTGTGATGCTTATTAATAATTTTTAAACCACATCTTTTCATCCGATGTTTAAGCTCTCGTATAGTTGCCAAAGAGTTTTGAGGTTTACAGTGAACCTCAGTGTATACTCTGTATATCTGTAAGAATACACAAGGGATAACAGAGCAATCGGTAATCAAATTCAGACTGTTTTTTAAGTCAAAATACGAACTGATTCAGTTGTATTGTAAATTTTGCACTTAAAAACTTTAAGGTTAATTTTGTTGCATTTTTTGTCAAATGATGCTTAGTGAATGAATATATTAGTATGTTAAGAAATCGATGTTTGAAAATTAGAAAAATACACTCGTTGTTAATTAAACGGAATCTAGCTCACACTTCCCAGAACACACAAAAGTATAAAACAGTCTGTGTTTACAATAATATACATTAATAAATTCGATAACTTTAACTTTAAGTTTTGTGCAACTTATTTAATAGTAGAAACGTTTAGTTAGCACAATACAAATTGGGTAAATGTGTTAATTTAGCACAATACAAGATGGGTAAATGTGTTAATTTAGCACAATACAAGTTGGGTAAATGTGTTTATTTAGCACAACACAATTTGGGTAAATGTGTTTATTTAGCACAATACAATTTGGGTAAATGTGTTAATTTAGCACAATAAAAGTTGGATAAATGTGCATGAAACAATTGCGATTTATTGTTTTTCTAATTTTAATTTCCATTAAACTGTGAAATATCTTACGCTTCGTATGTACTTTCAGACCTCTCCCGTTCTTGTCGCTTATTCCTACTTCGTTAATGGCCGACACGTAAAATTCGTATTCCGTCCCCGGATCTAAATCACACACAAGGAACTTCGGAACAGTTATATTTTCAGCTGTAAAAAATGGCTTTTCACCAGTTTTTCGCCAGAAGATGTTGAATATCTGTTGAAGACCACCGTTGAAACCAGGTTTCCATGAGAGAAGAATTGAGTTATGTGTGACATTGGAAGCAGACATCATTGTTGGTATTTCCGGTATACCTGGTATACAGATGAGATGTCTGTATAACTCGATGAAAGCTTTATAAACTAATTATATATTGGTGAGTATACAGACGACAGCACTATGTAGAAAACTATTTCTTGCAGCACTCTCAAATCTAAACCAAAATTTGTACTCGTAAATCCTACTTCTTAAAATAGAACAGACAGAGAACAGACAAACGAGCTCGCATATTTTTACGAAAACTGCTAAATATATGTGCACTTTAAATAATTCAAACAAAAAATCAATTTGAAAAACGTGGTTGAATCTCGAAGCATACACCATACAGTGTTGGATATTTGTACCAGAGACACTTAGATAATACATGAAGCTACAAAAACGAAACAAAAAAAGAAACGCTCCTTTTAAAATAATGCATATCTAAATAGTAATATACTTGCGAAACTTACGAGCTGGTATCAGCTCCACCATTGCAGTTGAAAATCCTAAGTAGTTTTCGGCTCGACAAGTATAATCTCCATAAGTCAAAGGATGAACTTTCTTGATGTGGAGAACACTCGTCCACACTGTCTGTTCATTGTTTTGGTAATCAACCTGGTAGTTGGAATTGGTGGTCATCCAGCTTATTAGCTGGTTGCCTAGATACCATGTGAATGTTACATTTGGCCTAGCATCAACGGTACAGTTTATTGTTGCAGCGCCACCTGTTTTTGAACCAACTTTCTTCAGTGTGACAGGTTGAAGAATTACTGGACTGTCTATGACAGAAAGAAAAGTAAATAACGAAACTTGAGAAACTACAGAAACATGAGTAAATGAAAATTCCTTATATAAATATTAATTATTTGTTGTTTAGCACAAAGCACTGCTCACTATATTTGATCATTCACGAAAACAAAATTCCATCTAACAGATACGCGAGGATCACGTAAAACCACATATATATGTATATTTATCTAGATCTTAACTTCTGAATTTAATTATTTGCATATTGTTTATTCTTTCCTGTGTCTAGTGAGAATTGGTCTGCAGGTTAAAAATTACACAATTAATGAATTCCATAAAGAACAGAGAAAAACTGAGAGCTTAGGTTATGTTTCAAAATAGATAAGAACAAAAAAATTGGCATTTTTTTTTAGACAACTGTAGAGCTAACTGTTTATCGTCGGTTGTGTAAATGGTTCTTTGAAACAGTTGGTGATGCATTGTGGTAATAAACGATTTATTAGATGACGTTCAAAACGATTTCAATAAATCCCTTAAAAAACTACTAACACAATAGATTCCTGATTCTTTGAAAATTAGTGGAGTGAAAAATAGTATATATATATATATATATATTAAAGTAAGCTTGTAATTAGTTAGTTTGTTTGAAGCTAAGTACAAAGCTGCAGAATGGGCTATCTGTGCTCTGCCCACCACGGGTATCAAAACCCGGTTTCTAGCGTCGTAAGTCCGCAGACATACCGCT